ACGCTCAGCCAGTGAGCAAACCGGCCGTCCCTATATGGGATCCGAACCTGTGGCCTTGGTGTTATGAGCACCACACTCTACCGAGTGAGCCACAGGCCGGACCTCTGCTGACTCTTACAAAGACACTTGTTCTCAGATTTAGGGCCCAGCCATATAATCCAGGATTATCTCATTTCAAACTTCCTTACAACTGCAGAGACTCTTTCTCATGACAGTCACATTCACAGGGTCCAGAGATTAGGACGTGTACATGTCTTTTGGGGGCCACCGTTCAGCCCATGACATGTGTCCTGCAGGCACTGGCTGCCGTCATTCTCCCCACCACCTGGAGCAGTGGCTCCTCTCAAGGGAGCTTCCTCTGCTCGCCCGACTTGCGCAGCCCCTCACCGTGGTGAAGAGGGACAGACAAAAGCATGGCCCCATGGTGGCTTCCTGCCCCCACCCAGCCAGGCTGACCAGCACGGATCGGATGTCCCTCTGCAAAGCCATTCAACCCCAGCTTCCCAGCAAACGGCTCAGCTGCCGTCGTGCCGGTGTGTTTGAAGTACCCAATAGAGAGTGGTAACCCCACAAAATTAGGAAGCCCACTGCAGGCAGCCCTCCAAAAGGGAAAGTCCTCTGCTGCACGTGCGTGGCTGTGGGGCCACATGACATCTGGGCCAGAGGACTGCTATCTGTCCCCTCTGGTTACCCTGCCTGGCTGGAGGATCTGTAGGTAATAAAAACTCCAACCTCCACATTGCGGCTGTGTCATTGAAGCAGCACCAACCCGGAGGGACCCAGGCAGGTGGATTCCTGCTGTGCTATTCTGCCAGGGCCCCTGGTGGCCGCTGGGGACAGGAGCTACCATCTAAGTTAATAGAGAAACTCGAAGGGTTTTGTTCAAGCAGGCAGCAGAGTAAGGAAGGCTGGGAAGTGACCTTTGAGGAAGGACGAGTGGACCATGGGGGGACAGCATCCCAGGAGACCACCCAAGAGCAAAGGCTCCGAGGCACCAGGGTCACCTGCACCTGCGGGCCATGCACACTTGCATTTTACTGTGATGCTGGGGGCCAGGGAGCAGGTGGCCTTAGCAATAGAATTTCACAGTCTATTCCTGACAGAACACCTGCCATGGCTGGTGACATGTGTCACGGAAGTGATTTCCAAAGCCAAGTGCATTTGAGAAACATTAGGACAAAAAGCATCTTTACAACATTCAGTCCTGGCTTTAGAGCTCGCGAATTCTGCGCATCCCAGTTAGGAACACAGTCCAGGAGAAAGAAACTTATCAGGAACATTCAGGCACGTGGTTCTGTAAAACGAAATTTGGGAGAATATTTTAATCCCCCAGAATCCATCAACAGCTGGGACCCCAGGATCCAATGCAGGCAGGTGGCCAGGGAGGGGGATCTCCTTAGGAAGGGGTGGGGGCGACCTCTGCGGACCACCCACAGAATCACAGCAGCCAGTCTCAAGCTGTCCCCTGCCGCAGCCTGGCACTGAGCTGTCCACGAATGGTCAGTCCAATGAGAGGGAGAAACTGGGACACAGAGAAAGCAGGTCATTCTCTCAAGGCCAAACAGCCAGAAAGGGTCAGGCCGGTGCCCACAGCTCCTGGGCCACTGGTGCCTTCCAGCGAGCCAGAGGACACCAGCAGCAGTCCCACATCAGCAGAGCAGCCCCTGCCAGACATGAAGGTCCCCAGCCGGCTGCTCCCTCCCCTCCATGCACCGGGTGGGGGGGTCCACTCACGTGCGTGGCTTCCCTGCCAGATGGGCCGGGGACGAGGGGAAGGACCGGCCCACAGTGACAGCGCCCCCGTGTTAGCTCATGTTCCTGCGAACAGCAGCACCACGCCCTCCCACTTCTAGGGAACTAGCCAGGCACCCTCAGTCCAGCCAGCTGGGCCCAGAGGACACGAGAGGGTTTTGGGAGGAACCCCCAGTTCTGCTCTGCCAGCCTCCAGGCTGCCCCAGTGGGTCTGAGCAGAGAAGGGCCGGCAGGGGCTGAGCCGGGAGCTGCGGTGAGCAGGTGAGAGGCCCCCGCCCCCCCCCAACTGCTCCCCAGGTGGGGGGCACCTCCTCTGCCCTCTGCACCCCCCACTCCCAGCCTGGCTCCCAGAGGGACACTGGCTAATGTTCAGGTCTCCTTTGGGAGGGACAGTGGAGAAAGCAGGTGGGGATGGGAACTGGGAAGCAGAGACGAAAGGAAAATGTTTAAAAGCTGGAGCTCCGTGCCCTGCCTGGAGTACAGCGGGCAGGTGTGCCCATTCTGATAACAATGGTGGTGCCCCCGTGACATGCCGACCCCTCTGACTTTCTCCAGGAGCAGAACCCACCCCACCCCCCACCCCCACCCGAGCACTGGCCTCACCCCCACCAGTCAGCAGCTGAGCAGGAGCGAGAGGGCGGCCAGGAGAGTCTGGTTAGCTCCCTCCACGTCCCTTAGGGAAACTGAGGCCCAGGGGGGAAGGGCCCTGTCCCCTCCTACCCCCCACCGTGTCACCACTGTGACACTAGAGTCCAGATGAGGTCTTGACTCCCAGGTCAAGAGGCCCTGCCCTGACCTTGCTGGCTGGGCTTGGAGGACGAGCCACCATCACCGAGCAAGCACCTGCCCTGTGACGACTCCCCTCCCCGCTATTGGGGACCAGGACAATCACAAAGAAGGTGCCAGGTGAGCAGTCTGGGGACATGAAGCAGGGGACTCAGGGTGGGCTGAGGAAGCTGTGAGGGCTGAGCCCATGAGAAAGAGCAAAGCCTTAAAGGAGGGTGGGACCTGGGTAAGGGGCAGGGTGGCCAGGGTGCCCTGGCAGGGACACGGCCACACAGAGGTGTGGCAACGAGAACCCAAGGGGTAGATTAGGTTCTGTCTCTTGTCTCTCTCTCTCTCTCTGTCCCTGTGTCTGTACTCTCTGTCTGTCTGTCCGTCTCTCTCTCATCTCTCCATCTGTCTCTGTCTCTCCGTCTCCCCCTCTGTCTCTCATCGTCTCTCCAACAATCCTCACCACAGAGCGGGGACCCCGATGCCCCTCCGCTGTGCGTCCCGGGGCTGACCATGTGGGTCCTGGGGGAGGGTGGCAGGGGAGGAAGGGGCTGCCCTGAGCCCCGCCGCCCTACCCAGCCTCTGTGTCAGTCTCTCTCCTGCTCGGAGGACACCCCCGGGTGAGGGGACAGCTGGTCTCGAGCAGGCACACTCCTCTGTGACCCTCTTCTTCTCACTCCTTGAAAGCGGCCAGCTGCCACCACTGTGTCCTCTTCTCCCTGTGTTAGCGTCTCCCGGAAAGGACCCCAGGACCCCGCGACCCTCACCCCAATCCCCTCATTTGGTTTGAGGCTTCAGAGCAGCCTCCCGAGCACACTGCCTTGAGTGTGAGCCCCAGGATGACGCCCTGCTCAGGCTGGAGGGTGCGGGGCAGGCCGGGGTCCCCACCTGCCTGCTTGTGCCCCACTGCGACACCCCCTCCCTCCTCCTTAGGCTGCTGGAAGCCTCAGCCCAGTGCAGGACAGAGCATCCTGGGGGCACATCACTGGACACTGTGGGGTCCCTCTGGGGTGGGAGCCTCACACGGGGTCCCTGATGGGGAGCATCCCGCCTCTGCCGGAAGAGAAGGGAGGAGGCCCCACACAGGCGGTCCCACGTGTCCCCCTCCCCGCAGAGACCTGTCAGCACAAGGGGCCCTCACCATGGATGCGCACGATGGTCCACCCAGCCAGGAGGGGAGCAGGGACTCTCACCACAGGTATGACGGTGCATCAGGCACGTCTTACCATGAGGCTCAGAGGGCTCAGCAGGGGCCCGAGACCACCCGGCTGGAAAGGGTGGCCCCAGAGCTGCAGCAGGGCGACACCAGCAGGACCGCATCCCCCATGCGGTGCACAAAGGACTCGCGTGGTCAGTGTCTGTCGCCCCCTTGGCAGGGTCCTGCCGGAGCGCACGCAGAGCCAGCTGGGATGTTCGGGATGTTCAGCCGCTGGAGAACCTTCAACAGCGTCGTCTTCTACCTGACCCTTGTCACTGGCGTGGCGGGGCTGGTGGGCAACGGGCTCGTGCTCTGGAACCTCGGCTTCCACATCGAGAAGGGCCCCTTCTCTGTCTACCTGCTGCACCTGGCCGCCGCCGACTTCCTGTTCCTTGGCTGCCACGTGGGCTTCTCCGTCGTCCAGGCGGCCCTGGGCTCCCAGGACACGCTCTACTTCGTGGTCACCTTCCTGTGGTTCGCCGCGGGGCTCTGGCTGCTGGCGGCCCTCAGCGCCGAGTGCTGCCTGTCCGACGTCTGTCCCGCCTGCTACCGGGGCTGTCGCCCTCGACACGCCTCGGCCGTCCTCTGCGCCCTGGTCTGGGCCCTGACCCTGCCCGCCGTGCTGCTGCCCGCCAGCGCCTGTGGCCTGCTGCGTGACANCACGAAACCGACCGGCCCGCGCCCGCCCCGCGGCCCTGCAGACCCTCGCCCAGGCCCCCTGCCGCGGCCGAGCTCCCGAAGGGCGGGTCGTTTTCCGTGTTTTCTGCTGCTTTTTCAAAAACACTTTGTGTTCCTTGTTAAAACATTGGAGCCCGCAGAAAACACGGAAAGGATAAGTCACCAAAACGTTTTCCACCCAGATGGACACATTTTTCCGTGAAGAACACTCCGGTCACGTAGTTTCCACAGTAGAGACCCGCGGAAATTTCCTTTTTAGCAGAATGAGGCGTTCTAGGCACGCTGTGTGACACCTGTCACCACAGAGCGTTGAACTACCTACGAAGGGTTAAATGAAGTTGTGCGTTTTCCCACTGGAACAGTCAGGTGTTGCTTCTTAGGGGAACTTTGGAGAACACCAAAAAATGGAAAGGAGGAAAACTTGCCTGAAGCCCCCCGACCCAGAGACCCCGGCCTTCGCTGGTTTCCTGTTCCGGCCGTGCCGAGTCCCCCTGCCTGACCTCTCCAGACTGTACCCTCTGGACAGGGAGTCTGGGGTCGTGGAGCATCTAGAGGCCACCTGTGGACTCAGGAAGGGGGGATTGGGGACGAGAGACCTGGTGGGGGGGGGCCTGTCCATTCCCAGGATGCCCCACACTGGACCCCTAGGAGGGGTGTGGCCTTTCTCCTGGAAGACGTGGAAATGGGGTCAGGATGGGAAGGGTTTTGAAGGTGGGTGCCCCAGGACCAGCCCCATCCTCCCTGCCCCAGGAAGTAGCTGCAAGGCCGCCTGTGGGGCCGTCCATCTGTGTGCCAGCAGGGACAGGTGCGCAGCCACAGAGGACGGTGTCTGGGGCTTGTGATAAATATCCCAGTCTAGGCAGATGGGGAGCGCAGGGGCTGTGCCCCTGGAACCTGCAGCTTGGTGTGGGACACCATCCTGAGTCCAGACACCAGCAGGCCATGTCCCTGTCCTTGGAGAAACTGCAGCCAGATGGAGGGACAGGGCTGCCCAGGTCTGGCCAGAGTCCAGGCAGAGGCAGAGAGAGCCTGGGCTCCCATCCTGCTGGCACCTCTGTGGCTGGGTGACTTCCCGTAAGTCACTTGACTGCTCAGGGCCCAGGTCTGCGAAAGGAGGCAGACATGTCTCCTTGTCTCCTTGCCAGACTGCAGGGCCAGGCCTCTGCAGAGGACATCGTGTCCTAGCCCTCAAGGCCAAATGCTTCGCCTCTCCTGCTCGGCAGAGCTCTGGGTGTCCCGCCTGCCCTGACCTGGGCGCAACCACTGCATTGCCTGCTGGTGCCCTCGCCCTGGGCACCATCCTTCTCAGCCATGGGGGTCTGTCCTGTGACTGTCCATCCTGACCTGTGGTTTGGGCTTCCTGGCAGTGGGTACCATGTTCTCAGAGCCTCTTGTATGCACCTGCCAGGCCTGAGCACCCGAGTGACCTCGTGCCTGAGCCTCTGCCCACCCCCACCAACACCATCTAGCACACCCAGCGCTCCGTGTCCCTTGCTATTCACTTGCTGCTTTGCATGTTAGTGACCGCGCCTCCCACTCGAAGGTGAGCTCCAGGACGCACAGGGCCAGCAGCCCATTCACGGCATCTCCCGGGGCTGGCGGGAGAAGGGGCTTGACAAGATTTGTCAAATGAGTTGACGGTGGATGGATTGGGTGGCTGGATGGGTGGCTGGATGGACAGTAGATGGATGGACAGTGGATGGATGGACAGGCAGGTGACACGACTAACATGGAGTGCAACTGACTGGAATCAGACAGGCTGGTCCTGAGTTCTGGAAGCTTCTCGGCCAGCCTACATCCTAACCACTGACCTGAATGAAGCCTGAGGGGACGTCGGGAGAGGAGCAGCAGATCCCAGGCCCTCCCCTCCCTTGGCCACACCCTCCCCTTTGAGTCAACAAACGTCACCACGCCAGCTCCACGCGGGCACTGGGCTTGGTGCTGCAGATACGGACCTGCCTTGGTGTGGCACCTGCCCCTGAGGAGCTTGGCATCTGCAGAAGGGACAAATACACAAGGACAACTCAGAGACAGCATGCTGAGGGCATGTGGCGGCCTCATGTGAAGGCTTCAGGAGCTGCCGTTTGGCCCCACCTGTCCTTGAGGATCCCAGTTAATGACCGGTGCTCCGGGGTCATTAGTACCTCCTCTTTACTGGCAAGGGTCCCAGCCTGGATGACAAGGCATCTGGTCACCCTAATGTTATGGGGGCATAGAGGAGGGTCACACAGCCCCCCTGAGAAAGCAGAGGCTCCCTGGAGGAGGTGGTGTGTGCACTGAGCCTCACAAAGACAGTGTAGGATGAGGAGGAATGGGGTTACCATATTCCCTTGGAGGGAGTGTAGGATTATTCCTGGGAAGCAGAGAGACAAGGACAGTCCAAGGTACAGAGGGTGACCCGCAGCATCATGAAACATAAGGACCCCGATCCAGAGCACAGTGAGGAAACCCAGCAGGCGGGGGACACCAGAGACAGATGAGAAAGCGCCGTAGGAAGGGTGTGGCTTTGACTCCGCCACTCTTAGGGGGATTGGGGACGGCTGGTGAGCAGGGAGAGGTGAAATCAGACCTTATTAGAGACATCGAACCAGCGGGGGGCCAGGCTGAGCAAGGGACTTGCAGGAAACTGTTGCAGTGACTCAGGGAAGAGATGGTGCAGTCCCCCAAAAGGACAGAAGGCTGAAGGAGGGGACGGAGAGTAGTACTGGGGGAGGGGGTAGAGTTTGCAGCGGGACAGGGTCAGATCAGGGAAGGAAGGGGGCAGAAGCCTTCACAGTGGGGAAGAGCAGGAAAGTGAATCCTGGGCACCTGCTGAGAAGAACAGAAAGACAGGGGACACCCAGACACAGGACAGGGGACACCCCAGGGGGACAATGGGCAAACTCCAGGTTCGCATTTCCTATGGTTCATCTCAAATGAAATGTTGTAGGTGGCGAGAGATCGCGGTGGAGGTTTGCTTCCTGTGTGCTCTTTTCCCGTGTCGATATCCAGTTGTTCCGGTCACATTTGTTGAGCAGACTTACTTGTCCCGTTGAATTGCACTGGCACAGCAGGTCGCCTGTGGGCTCCGTTCTGTTGGCTCCCCGGACACCAGCACACACCATCACAGTTACCGTTGCGTGGTGTTCAGTCATGAAATCGGTTTTGCATTTCTTTTTGAGAATGTTCATGTCTATATAAATTTTACAACCAGATTGACAGTGTCTTCAAACAGCTACTGAAATTTTCATTGGAATTGCATTGACTCGTTCTGTCCAACTATTCTAGATAAATTTATGGAGAACTTGACATCTTAACATGGAGTTTTCCAGTTTATGAACATGGTTTGTCTCCACTTATTTTGGTCGTCTGGTTTCTGTCCGCTCTCTTTTGTAGTTTTCAATGTGTTTTCTACATATTTTATAAAATTTATTCCTAGGTATTTGACGTTTCTCGATGCTATGTAAAAACAATCTCTTGATTTCACTTTCTAATCATTTGTTGATAGTTTATTTTTTTGTATATTGATTTTGAGTCTTTATATTAATCTGACAGCTATCCTGCCAACTTCTAAACTCACTAATGAGTTCTAGTAGTCTTTCTGAAAACTGCTTAGGATTTTCTATGTACGCAGTTATGTCATGTGCAAATAGAGGTGTCTTACTATGTCCTCGCCAGGTGTGGGTGTCAGAGTCGCTCTGTCTTGCTCTGTTCTCTGTATGAGTTTGGACAAGAGCAGGGGCTATTTCACCGGCGAGGACATCCGTGGCTAGAGTTTTTGTGAAAGGGTTTTAAAATACAATTCAGATTTTGAAAAAGCTAATACAGGGCTATTTAGATTCTCTTTTCTTCTTATATCAGGGTATTAGTCTTTTTCTGTTGCTTATAACAGAATACCTGAACTGGGTCATTTATAAAGAAAAGAGGTTTATTTCTTACAGTTTCGGAGGTTGAGAATCCCACAGTCCAGGGGACGAATCTTGATGGTGACTCTCTACAGTGACACAGGGAGTCACATGGCGAGAATGGGCTGAGCAAGACAGAGCTGACCTGCTCGCTTGCTCTCTGTATAAAGCCATTGGAAGCACGGCCGTTCCCCCATGACTGGATCAATCCGTTCACCAGGGCAGAGTCCTCACAATCCAGTCACCTCTTCAAGGCTCAACCTTTCTTTTTTTTTTTCCNTATCAGCTTCAGTGATCTTTTCAGAGACCAACTTTTACTTGTTGATTTCTCTGTGCTGTTTGTTTGCTGTTTCATTGATTTCTGCTTTTATTTGTTATGTTTTTTCCTCCTAGTTCATGAGGGCCCCATTTCCTCCTCTTTGTCAAGCTGCTTCAGTTAATAGCTTAGATAATTTCTTTTAAATCTTTTCTTGTAGCCTGAAAAATGCCCCTTACAAAGATGTCCACACCCTTGGTGATATATGAACACTCTAGATGAAAGCATAGATTACCAGAATGGATTTTTTTTAAAAAAATAATACAACTATATGTTTCCTACAAGAGACACACTCTAGATTTAAAGGCACAAATAAGTTGAATGTAAAAAGATGTGAAATGATATACCATGTAAGCAATAACCAAAAGAGAGCCGGCGTGGCTATGTCAATGTGAGACAAAATAGATATGAAGTAAAGAATTATTACTAGAGACAAGTGACGACAGTCTGTGATAATAAAAATGTCAATCCATCAGGAAGATGCAACAACTATAAACATACATACTGTGGTAGGCTGGTGAAAGCCCCCTCAAACATAACCATACCCTAATCTGCATAACCTATGACTGTCACCTTATATGACAAAAGGGACTTTGCAAGTATGATTAAATTAAGGACATTGAGATAGAGAAATTGTCCTGGATTATCTGGGTGGACCCCATGTGATCTCAAGGGTCTTTGTAAGAGGAGAGGAAGGCAGATCAGAGCAAGTAGGAGGAGACACGGGGATGCAAGAGAGACATGGCAGAGATGTGAGGACGGGGCCGCGAGCCCAGGAACGCAGGGGCCTCGGGAAGCCAGAGAGGGAAAGAGCAGGTTCTGCCCTGGAGCCTCTGGAGGGAGCCTGGCCACGCTGACACCTTGCCGCTGTGCAGCGAGACCGACTGCAGACTTCTCACCTCCAGAACTGCTATGGTAAGTGTGTGTTGTGTTAAACCACGGAGGTTGTGGTGATTCGTTACAGCAGCCACAGGGAACTCATACAGATCGTGTCCCCTCCAGCTTCTGCCTGCTCTTATTTTTCTCTCCTGTGTCTTCGAAGAGTTGCTTTCTTTTTTTTTTTTTTCTTTTTGTCTTTTTTCGTGACCGGCAACGGATCGCAACNATGGGATCGCAACCCTCGGTGTCGCGCCCGCACCGCGCTCAACCAGTGAGCGGACCGGTCTCTATATGGGATCCGAACCCTCTGCGGGAGCACCGCCACGCTCCCAAGCACCACACTCTACTGAGTGCGCCACCGGGCCGGACCCAAGGCTCCACCTTTCAATGACCATAACAGGATTTCCCACCCTCTTAACACTGTTACAATGGGGGTCAAGTTTCCAGTGCATGAACTGTTGGGGAACACATCTGACCCATAGCAGTCAGCTTTAGAAAGTTGTGTTTTTCAAGGAATTGGTCCAAATTTCATCTAAGTTTGAATTTGTTAGCACAAAGTTGTATAGGATGTCCCGTATGATCCTTTTATTGTCTATCAAATCTGTATGGTGTCTGGTTTTTATTTCTAAGATAGGTAATTCATGTCTTCTGTTGACCGTTCTTGTTAGGGCTTTATCAGCTTCAGTGATCTTTTCAGAGACCAACTTTTACTTGTTGATTTCTCTGTGCTGTTTCATTGATTTCTGCTTTTATTTGTTATGTTTTTTCCTCCTAGTTCATGAGGGCCCCATTTCCTCCTCTTTGTCAACCTGCTTCAGTTAATAGCTTAGATAATTTCTTTTAAATCTTTTCTTGTAGCCTGAAAAATGCCCCTTACAAAGATGTCCACAGCCTTGGTGATATATGAACGCTCTAGATGAAAGCATAGATTACCAGAATGGATTTTTAAAAAAAAATAATACAACTATATGTTTCCTACAAGAGACACACTCTAGATTTAAAGGCACAAA